TTTTTCTGAACCAGGGATTGAACTCAGGCCCTTGCACTTGCCAAAGAAGCGCTTATTCTACTGAGCCATCTCCCTGGCCCCTAATCCTTGTTTTTTGAGGAATCTCCACGCTGATTTCTACAGTGGTTGTACCAGTCTACACTTCCACCAGCAACGGAGAAGGGTTCCTCAACAACAAGTGCAAACCAAACCCACGAGTTGGGAAAAAATATTAGCCAACTGCCCTTCACACAAAGGACTTCTATCTAGAACATAAAAGAATTTTTAAACATTGGATCCCCTCAAATTCAAAGACCCAATCCACAAATGGGCATCTGAGATGAAAAAGCATTTTGCAGATGAAAAAATACAAATGGCAAATAAATGTATGACAAAATGTGCAACATCATTACTCATTTTTTTCATCATTGCTCATTTAAGAAATGCAAATTCAAACAACACGAAGAAATGCAATCTGCGGCTTTGAAAAACAGGCAGGTTACTGGGAAGTAGAAGATAAAATAAAACATTGGAAATCATGAATCTACATTTCCCTTTATTCTGTACTTTTATTCAGCTTGGGAAGCCCAATTGATTTGGAGAACTAAAACAGCCTCTCTTCTCCCCTATATAACTTTAATTTGCTTGGTTTATAAGTGTCTTGATCTTTTTTATTTGTTTATTTTTATTTTTATGTATTTATTAAAGGATCTACAGGGTCTCACAAACAATGGAGGAAGAGAGGTTTGGCCAGACTCATAGTGATCCTCCTGTTTTCAGCTTCCCAAATGCTGGGATTACAGGTGCAGGCCAACATGCCCAGTCCCAATCGCTGTCTCAGCACACTCCTAGAGAGGGATGGCACAGCGCATGCCGGGGAACAAACCACATCCCTGCACTTGGCCTAAGCAGGTGCTTTAGTCCAATAAGCCATCTGGCCAGCCCTGATCTTTTTTATTTTTAATCTTTAACTTATCTATTTATTTGGAACAGGGTCTCACTATGTAGCTCAGACTCATAGTGCTCTTCCTGGCTCAGCCTCCTCAGTGTGGGGCTTACAGGATGCACCACGCCCAGTTTCGGTGGGGCATGGCATGCAGTACTGGAGATTGAACTGAGGGCCCTGGGTTTGCCAGTCAGGCACTTAGACTGCCGAGCTATCTCCCCAGTCAAATATCTTGATCTTTAATGATACAACAACAATTGGCACCTGTCTGACGTTCATCCATACACTCTCCAACTGAAAATCAAATTATCTATTACTCTGAAGAATAAAAGGAGTCTGTAGCTTTTTCCCCAAAAAAGAACCATGGACCTAAATTTAAAACAGAAATGGAAAGAGCACTAGCAAAATCTGCCTGCACTTTGTATTATTTTGAAACTGGTTGGCACAGATGAGAGGACTACGGAAAATACAAATTTCAGAGCCAAAGGAAATCAAAGCTAAGAAACTCAAATTCTTTGGAGTTAAAAAGAGAATGGGTTCAATATTTCAAACATTTTTACTCAGTGACACCACCACCACCAAAAGGGGACACTTTGCACCCACCAGTCAAAGGAAAGCTATTAATAAAGTGCCTGGGGTCCAGTAAACCAATGAAGCTGCCCACCTGGATGGTGGAACATTCCCATATCGAGCCAGAGGTTTGTGAGACTCTTCCTCCCCTCCTGTGAAACAGTTGCAGTTCCTTTGGATGGCTTTAACAAAATATTAAGGACTTGTGGCTTTAGCTACAAGTCTTTCCTTCCCACAGTTCTGCAGTCTAGAAGTCCAGATTCAAGGCATGGACAGATGTGGTTCCTGCTGAGGACACTTCCTGCCTCGCACACAAGGCCACTTTCTTCTGTGTACTCCTGTGGCCCACAGATCCCAGCCCTAATCTCTTTTAAAAACCCTAATCCCATCTCAGGCCCCACCCTCATGACCTCATCTAAACCTAATTACCTCCCAGATGCCTGACTGGCAAGGCCGAGATTAAGGCCTTGTAAAGGTCCACATCTCCTTTGAAGCTTTCTCTGTCCTCCTTCTGCATGACCTCTTGTTCCTCTCTAAATACCTTTAGCTCACATACTTTGCCATCCTTGTTGAGTAGCTTACACAGCTTAAGATATTTTGGATTAGGATATATTTCATGGTATCCCATGTAGAACCACTGCACCATTACCACTGAGTCTTAGGCCATTTTGGTGTTGTAGCAGAATAACCAAAACTGAGTATAAAGAACAGCAATCTCTTTCTTTTTCATTCTGGAGGCTGGAAAGTCCAAGATAAGGGACTGGCTCTGGCAAGGACCTTCTTGTAGCATTGTCCTGTGATAGATGGCTTCACATGAATGAGAGAGTAGGAAAACAGGGCCAGACATGCCCTTTCTAAAGGAAGCACTGCCTTGGTCACAGACCCAGTCCTGATGGCATCAGCCCAGGAGTGAGTGTGGGAGCTCCTGGGAGAGAAACACCTCCTAACACCATTACAATAGGGATTTGGTTTCCAACACTTGGGTTGGAGGGGCACATTCCAACCACAGCACAGAGACAATGACAGGGGATGGTAATGATGGCAGCTAATGCAGAGTTGGCCTGTATCAGGTGCCACGGCTTTGCATTCATTCTGTTGCATAATGCTCATGATAAACCTATGAGGTAGCTCTGTTACTCCCCATTTCACACATGAATACACTAAGGCTCAGGGTGGTGAAAGACCCTATTAGTCAGGCTTAATTAGTGGCAGAGCTGGACTCAAACCATTGGTCTTTTACTACCAAGCTTGTGATCTTAACCAAGCCAGTCATAACCAGGCCATCTTGTCACGCATGGTCCCCCCCCCCGACCCTCACCCCCGCTGAATCTGTGTGTGTGTGTGTGACAAGGCAAAAGTTTGTTTCAATACCCCTGGGAGCAGAGTTCTAGTAGAACCCTGGCATTTTGAGATCAACACTTTTCTTACTAAGCAGAATTGTATTTCCAGTCACTTCAAAGTACAAAATTTTGATTCCTTCTTACTTTTAAACCCATCTCTCTTTCTAAACCTTCTGATTAAGTTGTATTTGTGTCACCTTAAGCCTCTGTTGCTGCAGTTGTGGTGATGACGGTGGCTGACAGCTTTCTTTCTTTTTTTGTATCTAACTTTTGAAAATATTAGAAACTAAACTGGGAAAAATCTACTTGTCTCATTTGTTGCTTTACAAAGTCTAAGATGGAGGAGATACAGAGAAAAAAAGTCAGACTTTCTGAGAACTGCGTTTTCCCGCATTCATTCCCCTGTAGGTAGTGAAATCAGAGGAGGAAAGGAAGTCAAGCATACTGATGGGCTCTGGAAGAGAGAGGGAAGAAACTCCATTAGAACACCAAGGGGGCCAAGACCTGACCTCCCACCATGACCACCATGAGGTAAGGAAGGAGCCATTGCTCAGTCAGAGCAAAAGAACAGCAGGGATCTTGACTAACCCATTCCTCTCACGCTTGCACAGTGGAACCATACTCCTGGTGTTTTTATGCTGAGTAAATATGTAGGCAAACCAAGGGATGAATTTAGTCAAGTACCTTGAGGAGAGCACATGAAAAGCACTTTCTTTTTCATTGACATGAGATAATTGTACATAATCATGGGGTAGAGAATAAGAATGAAGGCCCGGGAGATGGCTCAGTAGAATAAGCGCTTACCTAGCAAGCCCAAAGGCCTGAGTTCAATCCCCGGTTCTGAAAAAAAAAAAAAAAAAAAAAA